CAGCAAAATGCTTGTTGCCAGGACTCCTGCCGTGGCTTCGAGTTTCTCTTCTGGATTTTCTTTCAAAGCATGCTGGATGAAGCTTGAGAATTTATCCTCCAGGCGTCTAGGAATAGAAAGCTGTTTTCTGCACTTGTCGAAGTCGAATGGTGCAGAGTCACCACTAGCCAGGTGCTTGAATGCAAACTCAGTGACAAGATTCAACTGTCTGATATCAAAACGAGTCCATGCCTTCTTCCTGAGATCCTGGACACGGATGGAATTGAATTCTACCCGGTGCGCAAGCTTTGAGTACTGTTCGCACATTATGTCTGTCGTTCCTAGCTCCTTGTAGCCTTCCTGGGGGATGTAGTGAACGTGAACACTGGAGAAGCTCTTTTCGAAGAGCTGTTTCATCGTGGAAGATCCGTGCTGTGATATTGGACGATTTAGCATTCTAGCAAAGGCAAACACATAAAGATTGGGATATTATTGCACTACTTACAAGGGCAGCTAGCTTCCTGACTCTGGCATTTTCCGTGATCTCAAGTTCGATGGCTGAGAAGAAGCTGGAAGTGATGACATCTTCATCACCGGATAGCCAATTTTCACTTTGTATGAATGGTCCATTGAGCACAATGATGAGAGCAGGTAGTGACTGTTGATTGACAGTGCTCTGTGCTCCTATCATGGACCAGTCCAGAAGCTTCAGGGCAGAGTCTGCCCATGCCTTGTGATTTCGCATCACATAGCAGACAACATCACTGAAGATGTATAGAAACCGGGGATAGAGTTCCTTGACGGCGGTTCTCCTGTCCATTAGTTTGTCGCCTTCGGTCTTCACAAGGTAGCTTCTACCATATTTCGCCCACTCTGTCTGGTACTTTGAAGCCACAGGTTCTGTGCCAAATATTCCCTCACAGTCTGCAAAGAGCCTTGGGCAGTCACTGCCAAACGTTGCAGGATCTGGATAGAGGTTGACTTCTCCCGTCGTAGAAAGTGCAGCTGTTTCGACGTTGTCGTCCGCAGGGACGGGGGCGTCGATAGATTCGAAGCGATCGAGGCATTCTTGCGTTGCTTGATAGATCAGAGAACGAACTACACCAATATTGTGTCAGTCGGCGTCCTAAATCTCAGGAGCAAGGCATGCAAATAGTAATCCACATTCTGGCAGAGTCGAGGCGCCGTGCTGAATCTTATGTCGGAGGAGAAAAGATAATGAACCACCTCGGGGTGTTAGTAACTCACCGAGAGTAGACTTTCCAGCATTTGTTTCGCCAACAAACGACGTGATGCTCGGAAATTGGCGCTTGGGGCTGTTTTCTCCATGGAATTCTATTGACCTTTCCATGAGTAGCGACAGCCTCTTGGTCTCCACGATGGTGTTTACTCTTCCTGTGGTACTGACAACAGTGTGGAGACCAAACCATTTGGATGTTTCGTCATCCTTGAAGCACTTGTCCCTCGAAAGTGGAGAGCTTATTCCCAAGTTCTTTCCTGAAACCTTATACCAGAAGGCAGCTGAAAGCTTCGATGCCCCACGCCGATGACTCGGGTGTTTCTTCTGGTGCTTGTTCTGGAAACATGGCTCGCATAGCTTCTTACTGCAAGAGCAAGTGACATCGTATGGCCTTTGATCGCACTTTACACAAAGATCGGCAGAGAAGTTCGACATTTTGGAATCTCACGACAGGTGAAAGAGGTAAAATCCGTCCTGGTGAATGGAAGAGTAGGTGGCAATGACAGAGAGGTCAGACGTCGTGGACTACATCCATTTTTATTGTTTCATGTCAGTGCCGACAAATAAGAGACCGCAATAACTTGATTCCACAGCTTAGCTTTGGAACACAGGCCTCACATGGCGCCGTTACCATCTCAGCCATGTGAATTTGGGCGTCGAGCACACCATCTCCCATCACTCACAAATCAAAGAGCCATTGGCGAGGACCGAGACCGTTGCCTTTAAGGCAACCGAAACCGGGAGGCTAGAATGAGACTGATCATCCCAGCTCAGGTATCAGTCCAATAGAGAATGAACTTCTTATGCGGCCATCCTGCAAGCGCATGCAGTCATCTCAAGGGATAAGCGGTGAGCACATCGACAGCAGCACATTGCCAATGCCAGACGGCCACTTCTACAGAGACATACGAAATGTTGATCAATTGTATTTGACGCCACAATTTTCGACCACCGGTTTTACTGGAAGGAATTCTAGTGTCACGTTCTTCTCGCCCTCATGAGTGGCGTCGGAGCGGGAGAGGGTGGCGAAATTGAAGGCTTCTGAGGGTAATGTAGCCATAGCCTGCTCCTGCACACCATCATCTTGTTGATGGAAGTTTTTCCTCGCTGGAAGTCCTTCATAGAAGAGAACTAGCTTGTCCTGGGAATGTGCACTTGATATGACGGTAAAATCTGCACTTGCCGATGTCTCGGCAAGCCATAAGCTGACAACCAAGTGCTACCCAATGCTTTCTTATTCAGCTTGCCGTCTCTCGTCACCTGCCCTCCCACCGGTGTACTTCATGCCCGAAAGGTGCATAAAAAGTCGTGACACAACATCAATAGACATCAGCTCCTTGCTCATTGCCAAGAAAAGGCATCAACAGCATCTCCGTCTGAATATCAATGCCAGCCTGCAATATGAATGTGTGATCCTAGTCTACCCTGTTGTATTCAAAATCAACATAGCTAGTGCCTTTACCCATAATATTATACCTTTTGAGTATCTTTAATAAAAGAAAGTGCGGACCGCACAGGCGAGTCTCGCCCATTATCTGTAGAGTCAGCTGTCCAAGGCCATTCATCCTCATCCTTTATTCGTAATGGAGCGCATGTATTCACTGCTAGATACCTAGACATCGCACTCGCCTAAACAGAGAGCTGCAGAACAACTGTCAGATAGACTAGGAATCGTTTCAAGAGCCACAACCCTGAATCACTTATCAAAGGGACGCCTTCGGAATGCCAGAGCAGCTACTACCATGCGTGCAATCACCATGTTTTCAATCAACACTAAGAATTGGCAAAGTCTTCTTTTTATTTCTATCTTGATTTGACCTAAATACTCTACTAAGCCATTGGAATGGCAGTAATCTAAGCATCCTTTATCGTAAACCTAATATTCAACACACTTGACCCCCGATCCGCATCAAACTCAAACCCCTCCGCCGGGCCCGGCGTACCCGCCAGGCTCTTCGGCTGCACCATCCCCCACACCACCGCCTCCGTGATCTCCTTCACGCCCAGCGCATCCTTATGCTGGATCAGCATCCACGCCGTCCCCGCGCCGTGCGTGCTGCCCAAGATCGCGTCCCCCTCCCTCGTGCCCATCTTGAACGTCACGCGGTCGTTCCACCCCGGCACGCGCTTCTGCCCCGCGTCTTTCAGCGCCTGCAGCACGAGGTTGTACGTCGGCCCGTAGGTGATGTGCGCGCGGAAGACGACCTTGAGGCTCTTGGGGTCGACTTTTTTAGCTTGGCAGCCGAGCAGCCACTGGAAGAAGGCAAAGTCGGAGAGCGTGTCCATGTCGGGCACGGTGCCGAGGCCGTATTCCTTGACGGCGTATTTGGGGGACATGTTGACGTCGAAGATGAGCGCGCCGGCGGCGGGGTTGACGACGTTGCTGTAGGAACCTAGCGACGGCTGAGAGAAGTCAGTATAGATTTCGGGTATAAGATAGGGCCCCAACTTCGGGACAGAGTGTGAAAGGTCCCTTGGGCAGTTCACTCACCTGCCCCGTCTCCCCGTTCGCCTGCTTAAACTCCTTGTCGTGATCATAATAATACACCGCCCCGTTCTTCTCATCCACAGGAAACGCAGTATCACTCATCGCTTCGCTGAGAAACTTCACATTACTGGGCTTCAGCCCGCCGTCGTAGGGATACCACCACGTATCCAAACTCCACCCCCAGCGCGCCGTGCCCGCGGGGTCCTGGTACGGGCTCACGACCGACGCGCCGCCGTTCGCCGCCGCGGCGCCCGCGTTGTCCACCGGCATCAGGGTGCGGAGGTACTCCCCCTTCTTGACGCGGCCATCGTAGTCGGCGGGGAAGTCGGGGAACGCGCCCGCGCGCTTGGAGAGCGCGGGCGGGGGCGTGGGCGACGCGGTGAGGCAGACGGCCTGGAGGAGGAGGAGGAGGAGCGGTAGCGACAGGCTGCGCAGCCTAGAAACGAACGTTGCGCTGGACATCGTGAAAAGAGCGGCACTTTGTCACAGCAGGATCAGTAATCGGAGTGGTCACGGAGCCGGGGGGATTCGGGCATGATTATGTGAACACGGGCTCGACATCTTTTTATTGCGGATTCGTGGGACACGAAAGACCCGAACTGTCTAGTTCTGTGCAGAGGCTGATGTCGGAATAACCGACTTCCAAATAAGATTCATTTCTGTGTAAGGGGGAAGGGAGAATAAGGTTACGTCCGAACTCATGTTCATCGTATAGCTCAAACGTGCGCGGGGTGTAACGTGTGCTGTTCAATAGCATACAACACGTGAGTGACAAAAAGGCTTTTCTTTCCTGATGAAATGTTCTTAAAACCTTCGTTCGTAAATGACGGAATTGACTCGATCAATGCATACATACAGCCCGCACGGAGCGACCGTCTCTGAGGCCAGGGGGAACGTGGTTCTTCTGTGGGGCTTGGCATTTTGAACGACCAGATAGCTTTCACGGCGTAAAAGGAGGGGGATGAGGAACGAGTCAGCCCTACAGGAGCAAACTATTTATGGTCAGCAAACGCCGACTCCGAATCGAAGAGTCACATATAGTCAAAAGATGAATGTGAAAAGATGGAATTCTGGCTGTCTGCAGCATTACCATACAAATTCCGCCGCCCATCATCTCCCGTAACCCAAGCCATGTTTTCCCATTTCATTCCACCGAAAGAAATCCCGATCCAGAAACACAAAACCCCGCAACCATTATATAGTACAATTACAATAACAAGTCCGTCGTGAGAAAATCGACACGTGAACTCATGAATCCGTCGCTACCAATGCTGAAGGCTGTGATATGCTGAACTAGTAACGATGACGTCTGGAGCGCCCAGCACCAATGTCAATGCGGCTCATCTCCTGCATGAGAGCCCACTCGCTCTCGCTAGCGTTGTTGGCTCCGCTCATGATGGGCAGAGGGATCTTCGCCGGGATCGGGGGACCGCCACGCATGCCGCCGGGGGAGCTGCCGTACTGGGGAGCGTGATTCTCACTAGGGTAGTCCCACGTGCTCGCGCGTGACATGCGAGGCGGCGTGAAGTCGCTGCCATGGTCCTGGTAGTTGTGCGAAGAGATGGGCGCCAGGGGACTAGATCCTGCTGGCGAAGTGGAAGGAAGAGCAGACATGCGTTGCGTCTTCTTCTGCAACCGGTTTCGGGCACCGGCGTTTGGAGCGGGCGGGGTGCTGTACCGATCCGAGTCGTAGGAGACGGGCGAAACCTGGGATTGCGGTCGAGCCGCGATGCGAAGCTGACGACGACCGCTTGTAGGCGCAGGTTGAGGAGCCATTGAGACTCTTGAACGTACGGATGCTGTGGCTGGGGTCTTCGGACCCTTCGGCTCAGGCTCCGGCGCCCAAGTGTCCATGGGCAGGTGATCGGAAGGATCAATCTCACGGCCATCATGGGTGATGATCTTCTCATCCGGGTCGGGTCTGGAGATATCGCTGCCAGTGGCGGACAACGTCGGGTTGAGCGCATCATATGAGTCGGGACCGAAGGGAACGCCAGACAATCTGCGATGATCCGGGGGCGGCGCTGGACTGACCGACTTGCGCTTGATCGTGTGAGACGGGTTGGGGGACATTCCTCGTCTAGACTGCGGCGGCGGTATCGGTGAAAGACCACGTGCGCGATGTTGAGGATGAGGACTGACAGAAATGCCGCGTCTCATATCGTGGTGAGGATTGGGCGACACGCCGCGTCCCCTCATATCGTGGTGGGGATTAGGCGATACACCACGTCCCCTCGTGTCGTGGGCGTAGGGGTTCGGAGAGGCGCCACGGCCGCGCATATCCTGAGCGTAGGGCTGGGGGGATGCGCCCCTGCCTCTCATGTCCTGAGCATAAGGTTGAGGGGAGGCACCTCTTCCTCTCATGTCATGAGCGTACGGCTGCGGTGAGGGACCTCGTCCTCTCATGCTTTGATGCGGGGGCGCAGGCGAAGGACCGCGTCCTCTATGCATATCACCACTGTAAGCCACAGACTGCCGGTTGTCGTGTCGCGGCGGGATGTAGGTCTGGTCGTTGTATCCGGGATGCTGCCTACCACGTGTCGGCGTCGTGATACTCTCGGTTGTGTAACGCCTTGTCTGACGTCGGTCCTCGTAAATGCGATCGGTGACATCTTGTGTGAGGCCGGGATCGACTCCTGGCACCAAAGAGGCAGGGACAGAAGGCATGGTCGTTGCCTTTATCTCGGTTCCCGAGAGCTCGGATCGCTGCGATACATAAGAGTTCTGGCTGCGAGAGTGGTAGTCTTGAGGGCTGGGCGCGAAGTCTCTGGAGGCAATGGGAGACTGATGTTGGCGCACCATCTCATCGCCTCTGATATCCCTCGTAGCGATGGGCGACACTTGGTGACGAACCATTTCATCACCTCTCGGGTCACGCATAGACATGGGAGACACCGGCTGATGTCGGACCATCTCGTCGCCTCGAACGTATGGCTGCGGCGAAGTGCTGTAGTGAGAAGGTGAAGCATTCCCTCTTCCAGCAAGCACCAACTCATCACCTCTAGGTTGGTACTCCGGCTGCTGCCGGTAGTCCTGCTGATAGTCTTGCTGGTACTCCGGCTGGGGGGAGGTGCTGAAGCGACCCGGAGATGCTGAACCGCGGCCCGCAAAAACAAGCTCGTTGCCCTGAGGTTGATAGTCTGGCTGCGGCGATGTGCTGTAAGGACCTGATGAAACCATCTCGTTGCCCCTGTCGTAGGCGGGATTAGGCGACTGGCCGCGCTGGCGAGATCCTGCACTGCCTCTGCCGCCAATGTTCAACGGCGCCGGGCTTGGCACTTGGTCGTATCCCTGATCGTGTGCTTGTTCTTGGTATTGAGGCGCTCGAGCGGGCTGCCTAGGGCCAACGGCCAATGCTTGAGGTGGAGGCGGCGCTGGCTTCTGATCCTGGCCAAAGCCCAGTTCGTCATACGGAGGGACGCGCGATGTCCTTCGAGCGGTAGTCTTATTCGCAGGTGTAGGCGATTCTGGAACATCCTCAACCGTCGGCTGCATAGACCTGTACTCAGCATGTCCATCATAGGAGTGGTGTCGGGGGTGAGACTGCTCCTGGAAGTGATCCTCTGGAGCTGGCAGAGCGTGTCTGACCTCTGGAGCAGAGTCAAATCCACGGTACTGCGGTCGTCCAGGGTATGCTGCCGTAGAAAACGACATGCGGTGCGCCTCGTTTCGGAGAACATCCTGTCTCATGGCCGCATTTGCTGATTTCGGCGGCGTGTCGAACGAGCCCCTCAAGACCATATCCTGAGAGTTTCCTCTGCTGCGGTGAGCAGGAGGCGGCGGCGGCCTATCATCCTCGGCTGCGGGAGAATTTCTCGAGTCCTCGAGAAGATACGAATCGCGGGGCGGTGGCTCCGAGCCTTGACGATAGTGGGCTCGATCGACGATTTCTTGGGAAGCATATCTCGGGCTGTAGTCTCTCTCGTCGTGCTGAGAAGTGGGGCTATCGTAGCGCTCGTGCCTCGTGGGAGTGTGCTGAGGTGTCACCTCGGCGGGGTGAGATAGGGCAGCGGGTGACGTCGGCGCAGGTAGCTCTGTCTGGCTGCGAGAAGCAGGAGAAGCGTGGTACTCAATAGCCTGCAATGGCGACGGCGTCGGTACTTGTGCGGGTGTGGGCTTCTTCGTGGGCATCGGTCGAGAGCCTGACAGACTCGGCTGCTCTCTCGGTTCTGGCGCTGGCGACGACGGTGCGCTCATCTCCTTGGGTCCTCGAGGGCCACCAGCGCGAGGCGGGGTCGGTGCTTGTTCTGGTGACGGGGCGGCGGGGGCCTCGCCCGTGAAAGGATCGGAGGGCAGCGGGCGTCTCTTGATCTGCTTTCGAGGGATCGTTCCATGGGATGCGTACGTCTCAATCGGCTCGGCCTCGACAGGCTTGGGCTTCGCTACGGGCTTCTCGGGCTTTGGCCGGATATCGTAGTATGTGATCTCCATGCGAATCTCTCCGGCATACTTGCCCTTGAAGGTCAAGTTGCGCCACAAGTCGTTCTGCCCTCCGCCGGGAACAATGATATCCCTGAGGTCGACCCACGTCTCTCCAATGAGGTCCGTCTTCTTATCGTCGTGGAATACTGACACCTTAAGCTGGTAGTAGTCTGGGGAATCGTGGACAGCGAATCGAAGCTCTTGGTCCCTGCAGAGTAGTATGTTAGTTGTTATCGGCGGGCCATGAATGGGTTCGGGGGAAAGTGTCGGTACCATTTGGGTGTCTGTCCTCCGCGGATATCTGTCGTCGTCTTCTTCGCTTCCTTGCCGAGGCGTGCTGCACAGTAGGGGTCCTGCTTCCCCATGGTCTTGCGGTTGGGCAAGTTCTTTGCGCGGTCGACGATAGCGACCAGGGTGCCGATCAATGGGCCATCGACGCTGGGGTCGGCAAAGATGCCAGCCGTGTGCATCCCATTGAGTGGGTGCGATGCTTTCGCTTTGGACGCTAACATGTTTTGTGTTTGCTGTATCTGTGGTGTTGTAAGGTGTTGTTCGATGGGTCAATTCGGATGCCGTTTCGGGTTGACAAGGCGACGAAAAACAACAAAAAGTGAAGCTGCTGGCAAGCCACACAGTGATGCGGATGCTGGTAGAGATAGGAAAATGTTGGCAACTCTAGATATAGAGAGAGAGCTCGTTTACATTGGCGGCTCGGTTCGTCTTCTTTTTTGAGAGACGGGTATCAAAACAATGGAGGGCTCCAGGCGAGAGAAATATGACGATAGGGCAGAGACACAAACAACGGGTGAAACAAGGACGATGTTGGCGATGGAGAGAAAGAAGGCAGGGAGCCAGCACCCGAGTCTGCGTCTGAGCCGAGGAATGAATGGCAAACGGCGACGATGACGGGGTGAGAGGGGGAGGTGCAAGAGAGGAAGTGAGGGTGAGGGAGAAGAGAGAGTGTGTGAGTTTGTGCGTGCTTGTGTGCGTGTGAGAGGAAGAAAGACAGACAGACACCCGGTCAGATCAGATCAGGAAGAGCAAAGCTAAGCAAGAACGAGCCAAGCAGCGCAGCGCAGCGTGAGGCAAGGCAAGGCAAGGCAAGGTCGGGAGCGTAGCAGCAGCGGGTGGGAGGAGGCAGATGATGAATGATGATTGTTTTTGGCTGGCGCAGGGCAGGCGGCGGCGACGGGCATGCAGCAGCTGGAGGAGCAGCAGCAGACGTGCATGCAGCAACAGCACGGTACCTAGCAATTGGAGTCCATTTGGAGTGGGGTGTGGAATCTGTCTGGTTCAGGTCAGGTACCTTACCCAGGATCCGTACTGCGTACCTGGAAAAACCGGTGCAGGCAAGAGCTTGGTACCTGGGTCTCGCGGGTGTCCTGCCACTGGCTGCAGGTATCTCCTAGCTCTGTTGCAACGGACGACAGGTCCAGCTAACCTCGATCAGCGATGGCGCGCCTTACCTGCCTCATAGTTTTTTTTTTTTTCCTTCTCTTCCCCTCCCGGCACTGAGGGAAAGAAACTCAGCAGGTACGAACCAAATAGAATGCCGCTAAAACAGGACAAGCGCCAAGGCCAAGCGCCAAAAAGACAGAAGCCGCACTGTACATTGTGCTGCGTGCAGGGGCCATCCCCAGGCCGCGCGTGTGGTGGCTGGGCGAATGAGGGGCGGCAGGACCCCACCTTGTCTCCACCAAGCACCTGGATTGGGGAATATGCTGTGGCTGGTCGGGCTGGGAAACGCGAGACACCTGCCGTGGCCTGTCACTTTTGTCACTCCCCCAAAAACCACCCTCCCAGGCATCCAAACAAATGCCAGAAACAGGGCACTCGCAGAGTCCGATGAGACGACCGCCCATTCATGCCATCCGCATCAGTTATTGAGAGCGTCAAACTGAGGTAATGGGAGAGGTTGGTCCGTCTCTTCTCATCGCAATCTCACCACCCGCTCGCTCGCTTGCCCACCCATCCAACCCAGATCCAGCATCCAAGCCAACATCGCGCCCTCCCGCTGTCCCTTGAAGAACCCTGACCCAGGGCGGGCAGGACAGGACAGCCAGGCCAGGGCAGGGCAAGCAAGGGCCCAGCAGCAAAAAGAGAGGTTGATGTCCCGCCGCCGTAGTCCACAGCAGGGGTTCATCGCCCTGAGTTGCGCCTTGCAGGGGTTCTCGAAGCCGGTCCCTTCCAGCCCGGCAAACCTTTTTTTCAACTCTTTCATCTCCCAGAAACCCGACTGCGCATCCGTATCGCGGTCAATCTTGCTCGCTTGCGAAAGTGAGGCCACAAGAAACCATGTCTGCACCCTAAAGGCTCCTCTTCCCGCTCCTCGCCAAAACTCCACCGTCCGGGGAGCCCTACAAGGTATCTCACAACTGAGCCACTTCGGCTCACTCTACCTGTCACTGCGGGATGGGCAGAGTCTGGACGTGTCTGATTGCGGTTCGTCGACGTGACTCGCTTGGCTCTCGGTAAATGCCTATGCTGCATTGCAGTTCCACGGACACTGCCAAAGCAGTCTTGACCGTACATTCAGCGACTTCTTCAACCTCGCCGAAACGGACATTGACAACCTAACCGAGCGATCAAAGCCGTCAAGAAGGCGGTCGGAGCTGTCACTTTTTGACTTTCCCGCTCAATCAGACGATTGGAGGTTGGGGAACAACGCATCGGGCCCGAACGACCACTTCTCGAAGAGAAAGATGCCTTGGCGCCGACTATCCGCTTGTGCTATGTTCCCTGTCGAGCTGACAAGACTCGAACCGGGCAAAACCTTCAAATAAACAAGCTACGAAACCTTCGCGGACGTGGACGAGCCCAAAGTCCCTCGATTCATTTCTTTGCCGGTCCAATCTGCTCGCTGGAAAGGCGTATTGGCGTGTCTCCGTTCAGAAAACGAAAAGGCGCCGTCCAATCCGCAGCTGCAAGGCATTGGTGAAAACACCGATGGGGCCAACGGGGGATATGCACATCATCCCGAAGACTGAGCCTCAATGGGTGACGCGCCCCAGCTTTGCCGCCGCCCCAATGAGAATCGTCGAAACAGACTCGGGAAGCGAAGACAACATCATGAGCCAATCAAAGCCCTTTTCTCGACGGTTCTTCATGTCATGATTCCGAAAACGCTGCCCCCAATCAATTTGACGCGACCCGATCGCCGGTTTCTAGACCTTTGGAACCCCGCCTTGAATAACACAACACGCCGGCCGGGCTCACACGATGGTGCACTGCTCTAGTATTCACGAAGTTTGTGAAAGCTTCGGGACCGACAAAGTGTATCCGAATCAGACGGTTCGTCCGAGCGAGGGCTTGGGAGAATTGCGTATTCCGTCTATTCATTTGACAGACGTTTGCTCATTGACGTTGCTGGCATGCTTCTCACCCATTCCCATCAACAGGTCCGACCTGCCCCACCGCCAAGCTGTGCAGAAAAAAGAGCTGACGTCGACCTGCCCCGCCGGCAAACCAACAAAAATAGAAGCAAAAACACACAATCCCAATCATTTAAGCTTCCTTTCGTTTAAATCGCGATAGATCGTCATTGTGGATTCCCAAGTCCATCCAACAGAAGACGACGTCAAAAAGTGCCTAACAAGGCACACTCTCATATGCACAAGGGGCCGTTCCCAGACAATGCACGCCTTGCCGTTCGGTCTACCCGTCTCCGCGGCGAAGGGATTACGTGTTGGACGTACGTCTTCCCGCATTCCTTCAAGACTTCCCAAGACACACAACTTGCATTCCGATGCAAGTTCATGACGAAGACGAACGTTTTTCGTCTCTCTCGAGTCCGTGTTCATCTGGCACTCTGCGACCAAGGCCGCATCCAGGCCCGCAAGAGACCATCTATCACTAATCTTCTCATCCGTGCCGTTCCTGCCATCAGCGTCGTCGTCACTTGCTGGAGGTACACCGAAACACCCCAAGTGACAACCTCCCTCCAAGTCTCACCATGAATCGAAAAAAGAAGCAACCATAACCCGCCACACGGATTCTAGCGCCACGTCCAACGGTCAAGCCCTTCCTAGCGCTTGGGTTCAGGACCCCTTTTCAGCATAGTCCATTGTTGAACTTTCGAGCGAGAAAAAAAGCCTCAGCACAGTGTCCGCATTCCGAGACCATGGAGCGCGTCTCTAATTAGTTCATCTTGTCTCCTTCCCTTTCTCTTCTCGAGTAACCGCCCCCCACCCGCCGCCGCTTGCTACTAGGCGCATCTCTCCATGGCAACCATCCCAGACAACGGCACAGTTGCCGTGGAAGAAGAAGATTTACAGTCGGCGCCGCTGGCCGCAATGATCTATTGAAAAGGAGGCGAGCGCCTACTAACATTCCAATGTTCCAGATCTGTTGAACGAGATGTTCTGACTCGGATGTGTGAACTAAACAGAAGAAGTCTGTCGCTACGACCCACGTCGAAAAAGAGCCTGTGATGTGGTCAAGACAAGGGAGGCGGGCAGAGATTACGATAGAGACGGCAACACCGATGACGATAGATGGTGACAGTAACAGAGAGGTAAGACATAGTAGCTAAGGATGCAGACGAGAAGACTCAGCTTAGTTCCTGCCTACTTTCTGAAGGCCCACGAGCGTCCGTTATCACGACGACCGACAGCACCCCGGTTCACATTCGCGCCGCCTCTGGGCAGATAAAATGAAATCGAATACCACATTCTATGAACCACCTGATTCTATTGCGCAAACCACGGCATCAAGCATGATAGTCGCCAAGCCCGGGGCCACGTATCTCTACACCCGGTACGACCCCCGCAAGCCGGCGCCGGCTCGGAGGTGGGGACAGGCTCGCTTCGCTGCAGCATGTCCGCGTCTCCTCGCCCGGCCCGAGGACTTTACATACGACGTCCACGGGCTCTCGATGCGTCGGACACCGCATGCCACGCAGTTCTCACGACCAAACTCCATCATCTCATTCCAGCTCGCTTTCACTTGTTAGAAATCAGTAATTAATATCCAGAGACTTGCAAAGTCCATCGCACTGTGAAAGATGGAGACGGGACCCCCTTCAGGTTCCTACACGATGCCCGAGGCGGGGGCCCCCATCGGCGACTGTGGAATTTGGGGATCAAACTTTCCCACACCGCCGTCGGATTCCGTTCCCCGACATCTTTCAGCCTTACGAATTGAATGAGTGATGCCCCCCCATGCCCCAACCACAGGTACCTTTTTGGAGAAAGGCCGAACGATGGCGGCCCGACGAGCGGCGTTTATGCGTTGTTCATGAAGGACACAAAGAAGCTGAGGGGCACCACCATCACGGGAGGGATCTTGCCTGTACAAGACCGGAGCTAAAGAGCTCGTCATTACAGGAATTGAAGGGAGCTTTGGGCACCAATGGAAGCAAACCAACCCAGCCCAACATCGCGATTCACATGCTCTTCCTTCCAAGTTCAGGTCCTTTGTTCTCTGTAGTGGAGAGTTGGTGATAGCCAGCTTCAACACGCGCGGCTTTGCATTTCGTCGGACTCAGTTCCGGTCCCCTCGCATTCCTTCCCCA